CGTGCCGCCCGGGTGCGAGGCGGTGCTGCGGGCCTTCGCGGGTCGCAGAACAATGCGCGGAGTCGCCACACATTGTGGGTAGTAACGAGCAGTGCTGAAAGCTATAGCATGCGCAGGTGATGTCCGCTCTGCGGGGGCAGATGCCCCTGCACGTTCTTTTAGACTTCGCTGGACTGGTAACTTAACCTCAGAGTAGTACTGGGGCAATAAGTAGTATTTGTGTGACAGCTTAAGCTTATGGGGCACTGCTGTATCCCTTCTAACTCTTTGGCCATTCTTACCCTTTCTTCTCACACCACTTGTGCTAGCACTTGTGTCTTCTTGTACTCCTGCAAGCTAGCCGGAGGCATGCTGTGGTTATTTTTTTTGTTGTTGTCTCATCTTGCTGAATTGAGACAAATTCAGAAGAGGGGATAGATCAGAGTAAATTGCTTAAACTGACATTGAACATACCTCTAAGCTCAGGTATTACATGTAATATTCTTAGTGTAACCACCTTAAATTTTTCTTTTTAGGCAAGCACAGGAAACATCCTGGAGGGCGTGGTAATGCTGGTGGTATGCACCATCACAGGATTAACTTTGATAAATAGTAAGCTAACATTTGAAATATATACTAGCAAAATGTATGTTCCTGAAGTAGAAACAACTTATATATGTGAATAAACAAAATTCCCGGCAATCCTGTGTGTTTTTTCCTCTGACGTGAGGTGTGGCATTATAGTTACAGTCAACTCATGTCCCCATTTATCCTAAAATCAAAATCCTTTTAACTTAAACCAGATGTCTTTGAGAGTTCAGTGCAGTGTATGGTAAACTTGATTAAACTTGCCAATTTTAGTATGGACCCTGCTTAATGATGCACACACAAAATGTTATGTATATTCAAAATGTTATGTTAAATCTAAACTGCATCCTATTTAGCTGCTTGCTGTAAAGGTAAGGGATGTTGTCTGCACTTCTTGCCGAGACTAGAGTCACATCTGGACACCGCCTGTTGTTCTGGTGTGCTAGAGTACTCGGACAGTAACCACTAATCTATATTCACTGGCTGTGACCATTCTTGACTCAGTCAGTCACCAGGTTAGTGACAGGAGTGCTGAAACTCCCCAGACAGTGCAGCCCTCCCTGAATTCACGGAGCTGGGGTTGCCCTGGAAATACAGGGCTGGACCAGGCTCACCAATGAGGAGGATATAGTTGTGAGTTCAGTGGAGAATAAATGCTTCAAGAGAAAATAATTTTCCCTTGGTTTGGATACTGATGATTATTACACTTAAATACTAAACGTATTAATATAAATAAAAGTATAATGTGACATTTTGATTGCTTGCTTTGATAAAGTAATATGTTTGAGTGTTAATTTGTAGTCTTGCTTATTCAGGATAAATTAAAAAATGTAATCTAATGAGAAATGTGTTTCTTTCACAGTCACCCTGGTTACTTTGGAAAAGTAGGCATGAGACACTATCACTTGAAGAGAAACCAAAAGTTCTGTCCTACTGTCAACTTGGACAAGCTGTGGACGCTTGTCAGTGAACAGACGAGGCTCATTTATGCAAAAAAGGAGTCTGGACTGGCCCCAGTCATTGATGTTGTACGCTCAGTAAGTGTCTGCTCATGTCCAGACCTGCAGTTCCTGGTGACTTCATGTGTAGCTTAGCTTTGAGTATCCAAGTAGGAAAATGGTGAACAGTAAATAAGTTACAGTGCTTGAATATTTGTGAACTTCTCGGGACAAATATCTTGGCATATAAGTAGTGATGCAGGTACTTGCACTATTACGTTTTTTCCTTTTAAAAACTTTTTCTTGCACTTGTGTGTGATTGTGGACAGGGACTTCGCTTATTTTTAAAGGTGGTGAAAGACTGTGTGTTTAAAATCTTACTGAAAGTATGTATAAAAATGTGGCAGACCTACTCTCATTTATATAAAGTCACTTTGTGTAATATCGAGACTAGAGTCACATCTTCACATGTCTGATTGTCCTGATGTGCTATAGCTCTCGGACATAAGAAACTGATCCATATTCGCTGACTGCGATGTCTCATATCTCAGCCAGCCACCGAATCAGTGACACGAGCTGGTCTGCCAAGTGGGTGTGTTGTGTCCCAGATCAAGGTGCCTGCATTTGCCAGTTAAGCCACTTCTAACAAGCAGTGGCTTCGGCAGCTGTAGTGTACACAGACCTTGTGCCATGATTGCCTTTTTAACGTGAAGGGCAGGAATGCAATGAGAGGTTCCAGTAGTAGAGAACAGCTATTGCCGTGAGAGCTTACAAAAGCTGCAGCTGTACATTTAAGACATGCAGAGAATCTTCTGCTGTTGAGAAGCACCAGGATGTCCTTGCAGGTACAGGGCACTGACCAGAAGTCACTGGGTAGTAGATAGCTTTGGGAGTGCAGCCAACTGCTCTCCTTTGGAATACTGCTTTCCTTTGGAAAGGGTGGTGACTTCTTTACCAGATTTCATAGTGTTTTCTGTATATGGAGTATGGGGAGGAAAAAATAAATTCAGCTTCTAAATAACAGGAAAAGTTCAGTTTACAGTTTGCACTTTTCTGAACAAATGCAACTCAACTGGGTCATGCAGGGTATTTTTCTTTCATACCAATTTTATACTGGAGACAGACACTGAAGTTGTGGGTTTGGTTTTAACTGCATGCTAAAAGACAGGTCTTGATGTAGGAGAAGCCCGCAAGCTGATTACAAACACTTAATGAGTTTTTTCATCTTTCTAGGGCTACTACAAAGTCCTGGGCAAGGGGAAGCTGCCCAAGCAGCCTGTCATTGTGAAGGCAAAGTTCTTCAGTAGAAGAGCAGAGGAGAAGATCAAAGAAGTTGGTGGTGCTTGTGTGCTTGTGGCATAAAGGCCTTTGTTTTATTCAAATTTTTTGAATAAAGACAGTATGTAAAATGTGCTGATTTACAGAAGTTTATGATTTCTTTTCCTGACTTGTGCAGAGACTTAAGTCTTGTCTGCTTAGTTATTTCTGGCATTTTTGATTAGTGATTTGTCTGCTTCTTAGTCCAGCATTTGAGATGTACAGATACCTCCTTGTTTTTTCTTTACCGGGTAGCAAAATAGATGGATTCTTCCTGTATTTGTGCAGCTCTTTCAGTTGGTGATCCCCTCTTCAGCTGACTCTGAAAAGGTGACTTCTGTTCTGTTGGCAGGGATTTTTGTACACTAAAATGACATCTAGGTGAAATCTGGTGGGGTATTGCCTTGACCTTTGGGAATGAAATGACAGGAGTGTGGACAAAAATGCCATGGAACAATGTAAAATGAGTAGTAGTGTGCCAAAGATTGCTGTGTGAAAGAGATTTAGTGTGGGAAATTGCTGTCAGTAGGTGGTGTGATCAGTAGGCTTCTTTCTGCCATAGCAAAACAATTCTAGTTCATTTCCACTAGGGTGGGGTATAGGAGGGAATGAAGGGGGAAGTCCCTGGGAATAGTGTGGGACAGTAGGGAAGAGCTGAAATAGATGGGAAGAAAGAATTCAAGGTTTCCACACCGTTACTGCCAGACTTTGGTCATGAGCAGCAGTTCAAGCAGGTTTCTGCAGATACAGGGTCTGCCTAGTACGCAGCTTTCTTACAAGTAGTACTGGGTTTGTGCAGAACAGTTCTGTGTGGTGTGTCTGCACAACAGCAGCTGTGCCTCCGAGAAAGCGATCGGTGATTATCACCGTTACGCATAGAAATAAAATGTATTTTAAATTTAGTTCGACAGTGTGGTTACTTTGCTTTTTCATGGCACTGTTAATGAAAGGCCTTTCTAACTTAGCGCTTGCATTTGTCCTTCCAGTGCTTCAGCTGCTGTTAGATGGATGGCAGCTGTCTAGCTTCTGATCACAGCCAGCATACGAAACACAGACCCTCTTAATCCTTGTGCTTTTTGGAAACTACTGCTGTCGTACTGAGTACCAACTGGGGTGTTTGCATCAGAATGTGAGGCTCATAGTCATCTCTAGCGTAAGTTGCCTCTTCATTGATAGTATAACACTACATTTTTGCAATCTTAGAGCACAGCTTGTGAACACATTGGATTTCTTTGAGATCGGGCTGACTTCTTCCACCGCAGAATGAAATTGCTTCTGCACGTACTAATTCTGAATTTCACTAATTGATAACAGTTGTAGCAGCAGAATGCTGTCCTTTTGGTAGTTGTGGCACACTAGTCTAGAAGCTTTTAAAGCTCGCCAGTGTTACTGGACTGACAGGTTGGCAGTTCGGAGTTGGTGTGCTTTTAAGGGTTAACAGTAGTAATGTACTGAAACTTGCTTAATGATACAGTAACTGTCCATTAACTTTTACAATACAATTCCTAACATTACCATGTGCGGGACAGAAAGGGTGCCAGCTAGCTTCAACGGTCCTTACAGCTAATAGAAAGCAATGCCACAGCTCTAGAGCTGCCCTGTATGAATTTCTGATGTATTTGGCTTAAAATTACTACATAAAATAATGCTTGCTTAGTTGTAAAATTAAAAATAGGACTTCAGTTGCCAATGCAAGGCTTGACCCTGCATGCCAAAGCAACTTTATCTAATGGTGAAAATCAAACAGTTACCTAAAGCTAATGAGCTATCTGTTGTTCTAAGTGTCAGACTAAAAGTATATAGACACTGTCACAATTTTTTTTTATGCTCACTTCTAGAAGTCTTGAATTACTGCTTATGGCTGCAAATTACCTTCTAGTACATGTGATACGATCCTAGATAATGAACTAACCTAGTGTTTGGCAGTTATTTCAAGGCCTCTTAGGGTAAAGCTGGCATGCACTGCTTTGATAAAATAGTACATCTTAGCCAGTGGTACTGCTAGTTGTGAAGATCCGTATCTTAAATGAACAGCTTATAAAGTGAGCTTTATTTCATGACGACTGGAACCACCATTTCCTAGTATGTGATGCTGTTTGTCCACTGCCAAAGCAAAACTGTTTTGATCCTCAAAGGTAAGTTGTGTGGGACTGCAAAATAAGGAACGTTGTTACTCCCTCATGTCAGTAACCAGGTCACTGAGCAGATTATAGGGTCAGTGAAGGCTTTACTGTGGCTGAAGTACCCTGTGCATGCAATACAAGAGGGAAGCGACACTGGCTCACTAACATGCACAACAGACAACACTCTCAATTCTTCTTAACATATTTATGTCTTAAGTAATTCTTCCATGTTATGTAGTCTTGAGTACAAAAAGTTCTCTCTGGGAAGCATGCAGACTCCACCAGCTCCAACCTCTTCTTCGCTGAAGGCCAGCCTAGGTATTTTGTCTGGGTTTGGGATTTTTGCATAGCTGAGTCTAACATAACTGAGGCTGGGACAGGACTTCTCCTTCCTTGGCGGCTGCCTGTCCTTGGGCTGGCTTCCAAAATAACAGTCTGGAGGAATAAATCCAGCTTTGGTTTTGAGGTTGAGCCGTTCACGGCCTCCTGCTCCTACACAGCCATTTTCCTAGCTGACTCCGAGCGGCAGGGCTGGGGCCGCTGCTGCCACGCGTCCAGCCGTCGGACTCCGCCGGCGCAGCCCAGTGAGGCACCCGCCGGGCT